TATATCTTACTAAACTGCACCTATGCATACCTGGCAATCTCTAGCAGTCTAACCTTTTTTTACCATTTGATTTTCGACACCGTAAAAAAAAAAATTCTAACATTAGAAATGTACCATCATGAAATATTGTTATTCATATTCAAATAAATTTGGAAAAGTAGGGGATAAAATAAACGAATCCTACCTCTATTCTGACCTTTTATATATTTGGATATTGCTGTGATGGCAAGCATGCATATGGTCAGCTCTCCCATTGGTTTCAGTGAGAGCTGTCTGCAAAGGGGCTGCACCATTTCTTATTTTTATAATCTGTGTTTTGCTTTGTTTTCGAGGGTGAAGGGGTGTTATAATGAAAGTTTTGTTGTAAAATCACTTCTCATTATGGTTTCTTTAAGTTTAGTTAGCTGATTTTGCAATAGAAGTTCAACCCAAAAGAAATGTTGAAAATAACAAAGTGGCAATACTAACTGTAAACGGTACCCAATCTCTGCTGAAAAACGGCACATACATTTAAAATATTTCACTACCTTCTAAAGTATGTAAACATTTGCATTTGTTGATCATGCATCAAGGCTATTTTTGTATATGCGAGTTTGTAATTTAGATTTTAAGCTTGTATTTTTATTTTTTTTATCCTGGGCAATGTACAACAGTTTGTGAGATCATACAACACAGACAGTAACAGAATAAGACAGTAATTCAATGAAGTGCTGTGGTTAATTATCTTGTGAGAACGCCTTTGAAAGAAGTTACATCACATGTTAAACCTCCAAGTTTGCCCTGGAGTTGAGGATTTAAACGTGTGACTGATTAAAGCTGATAATCTTATTCTAGAAGGGTGCAGCCAGTTATAATAGAATGGTTGATATTACAGTATAAATTTATGATAAACTTTTTGCAATTTCTTATGTTTTTCTAAGAAGCCAAGTGACCTTTTAGTATTTACTTTTACATGTGCTATGTTTTTCTAAAGCATAATAAACTGCCACTTGTGAAAAATTTGTATCTCACTAATTCTACCTCTGTACTAATGGATCTCAAGGTCATGGCTAAGCTCATATTTCTGGAATTAAACTAGGCATCTTGTGCGGGTGAGAAAGGAAGCGTGGGAATGAGCAAAGCAGGTAAATGGTGGGACATATTGTAAGATTCCACCTCAACATCTTCTGTTCTTGCATATAAATCGAAGAATATGTCGGAGCTGTACACCTAGTGCATTAGATGATTGTTTTTCCTATTACGGTACTTGCTTGTTGTGAGGTCATTAAAGAATGAATGAACAGAACCTCCTTTGGGAGTGGCTTGGATTTGTTTGTATAGCTCCTTAGTTTTCATGATGGATATGATTGCAAATAACTCAAGCTTTCCAGAAACATGTCTATATTTTTTGAGATCATATCATCCAATACTTTATTTCCACATAGCAGGACTCCATTCAAATAAACACGGGCCTTTTGAAGTCCGTTTGCAGCATCGTTTAACATTGCAGCACTAAATGCAATAGGGACCCTGACCACTTCAGTGAGCTGAAGTGGTCTGGGTGCCTATAGTGTCCCTTGAAGAAACACCTACAATTAGACATAGATCAAGGAGGCCTTTCTAGGCCATTCAGTCACTGAATTTCTAAAGAAACAGATATCTCATTGAAAAGATTGCTTGTAAATGTCTTTCCAAATGTCTAAAATACTTAAAGGCAGCAAAAACGTGTTGGGATTGCTGGTCCTGTTCCGGAGCACCTGTGGCCGCTGGGAGTGAGTGTGGCGAGTGCGGTTCCTGTGACTAAAATACTTAAAAGGATATTCTTGGCACCCAGATCACTTCATCCCATTGAAGTGGTCTGGGTACAGTGTCCCTGGCCCCTTAGCCCTGCAATGTATAACATTGCACATTTAGAGAAACAATGTGAAACATTGCAGTGTTAAGACTGCCTCTAATGGCTGTATACCTGACAGCCACCAGAGGCGCTACATACATTTACACAGAGGCAGAGGGACACTAGTGTTAGAAATTCAGTTTTGTATTCCTAACACTATAGTGTTCCTTTAAGGGCCATTGTCATCAAAGAAGAGTAAAAAATCAGGAAGTGTTGAAACTCGTGGCCTGTTTAACCTAAGGGCACTTTCTGTATGAAAGACATTTCTTGCATGTTTACCAGATTCACAACTCTTCACAAACAAAAAGTATGCAACACAACGCACAGATAAGTCAGATACATTTTGGAACCAAATGCTGTATTCTGATAAAGTAATAGAGCGGTTAGAATCACCAAAGTTACGTTTGTGGAAGAAAAGAAAAGGAAAGAAGCATTTGAAGAACAGTATACCGACTATTAAAGAAACACTCCAAGTACCATAACTACTGCAGCCCACTGTAAGTAGTCAAACCATTTTAGTACAGTTTGATAACTTACCTGATTCCCATCTTTAATCTATAAAGGCATCTGACTTCTCCTGCTAGAGAAAACCTTATGTGGCACAGTCCATGTTGTCAAGCTACACTAATACTTGAAAGACATGTACACAAGAGACAATTTAAAGCGGCACTGTCACTGTCTGTGGGCTTTGGTGACATTGCTACAGGTGGGCTGGGGGGAACAGTGGTGAAAGTGAGATTTATTTACCTGTGCTTGTCCCTCGTGAGCGCCACCATCTTCCTCTTCAGCGTAGAGTACAGCATTGAAGTCTATGGGCTGCAGGATCCTCCATACACAGCTGGATCCTCCATAGACAGATCCAACTTCCCTGGTGACGGCTGTCGGGGTTAAAACTGTTGCCCCGTCCAGAATCTAAGAAATTCAGGAGGAAATACACAGACACAAAGTATTCCCTACCTTGTCTCTGTATATCTCTTGACTGGGTTGGAATTACAATGAAATCCCAATACAGTCATAATTAATATTTTATAAAGTTTCTGTCTTTATGAAATACTAATTTTTCAGGGGGAGTGACCTTCTCAGTTTGGGAATATTTGTGAGCTAGTGATATTTTTTGTAATTTTTTGTTTTTTTGGAAAGTGAGGTAAATTCCTAGACTGTTAGGTGTCTACAAGAAGTGTTGGGGGACTGTGATTTCTGCCAAGGGGGGTGTTACAAAGTACTGGCTCACAGGACACTCAAGCTTTTGCACAAGTTACATTTACTGTTTCTGTTTTTTTTTTTTCTTCTGTAAAATGTAGAAAATAAATAGTCATAGCACGTTAAAATATGCCCTTTTTTTTTTTCAACGATTATTATTTGTACTTTTTTTTTTTAGAATTTAAGTTTTTGTGTTTTGTTTTTTTTGTCACAGAAGTAGTGTTTGCTTATTTTCACTAACACAAAAAATCAGTAGAACATGTTTTGGAGTATGCAATCTTTTGCTTACAACTGCACATGTTACGTACTATATCAAGAGAATTTAATTGCAAAGCACCACTTACACTTTTTTTTAACATTTGAATATTTTTGTGCAATTAGGTGCTAAGCATTTCTTAATCTTTTGGTTGGAATTACCAAATATCTCTGGATTACATTCACGTGTTTGTTTGTTTGTTTTTTTGTTGTTTTTTTTTTTTTTTTTGCAGAGGAACTCGTGGAGTTTTGATCCACTTCATGATGTTAGACTCTCAACTGTGTAAAGACTCAGCTGTAATACAAATTATTCAATAGATGCCGCAGGGCATGTTTTCAAATCATAGTGTGTACTTTTATTTAGCAAATTGTGAGGAAGGCATTCCTCTCTATGAACTGTTACTCACAATAAGCTTTTCTATTTTTTATATACATTTCAGTTATTCTGAGGTTGCAACAGAGTGTACCAGTGGCCAAAATATACTGAAAGAGAATATATAAAATAGTCTTATGATTATAATTTATTTTTTTATTTTATTATAACACAATTTTTCTAGCAGTTTTTTGGGCAGTTTTCTTCCCTCTTTTACTCTTTCAAGAAGAACTTCTATGTTCCTGATTTTAGAGCTAACACTTTTTGCTTTTAACTGAATTTGAGACATCATATGTTGGGTTCCCACTAGCTACATGGTAGTATGAAGCCGGTTAGATCCCAGCCTTTGATTAGTACATCAACTGTTTGATTTAAATAGTAACATATGCTGAAAAAAAGACTCTTGTCTATCACATTCAGCCTTTCACTCACCAATTAGTGCTGATTCATTCTTAACCATAAAATGGGGAGGTGGGGTGGGCAGGGGGGGAAATCTTTCTAGACACTGAAATGGCAATCACATTTGTGCTTGGATTAACATATTAACTATTCTATCCTTAAAGGACCACTATAGTGCCAGGAAAACAAACTCGTTTTCCTGGCACTATAGTGCCCTGAGGGTGCCCCCACCCTTTGGGTCCCCCTCCCACCTGGCTCTGGGGAGAGGAAGGGGTTAAACACTTACCTTTCTCCAGCGCCGGGCGGGGAGCTGTACTCCTCCTCTCCTCTTTGCTCGCGACGTCATCGGCTGAATGCGCATGCGCGGCAGGAGCCAGCGCGCATTCAGCCGGTCGCATAGGAAAGCATTTACAGTGCTTTCCTATGGACGCTTGCGTGCTCTCACTGTGATTTTCACAGTGAGAAGCACGCAAGCGCCTCTAGTGGCTGTCAATGAGACAGCCACTAGAGGCTCTGGAGGCTGGATTAACCCTCAGTATAAACATAGCAGTTTCTCTGAAACTGCTATGTTTATAAAAAAAAAGGGTTAATCCTAGCTGGACCTGGCACCCAGACCACTTCATTAAGCTGAAGTGGTCTGGGTGCCTAGAGTGGTCCTTTAAATATATATTTATTTATTTTTACCAGAAAGGCGTTTAAGTGTTGACAATTTATGTTGAGTCTGAAAACATTTTTGCCATTGGCAAAATTTATTTTCTTTGTCTTAATTTGTGATTGTTTGTCCTTTCCACGGTCCTATTAATGAACAGGTTTGTAATAACATATATATATATTTTTAGTATGTTATCATACCCCTTTTTCCTACAGTTTTCTAGCCTTCCTTTATAAATTAATGTTTTCCATTCCCCATATGAATTTTATAACCCTCCTCTGCACTTTTCTGTTCTAGTTTCTAGAAAATACATATTTATACCTGGGAATATTGAAAGATCCGTAATATTGAGTGTCCCTTGTTTCTTTTCCTATCAGGGCAGGAAAATATGCAGTTTTGGTGGTAAGAGTGAGGACAGTTGAAATGTCCCAAAACTGAGGAAAACCGATACATAGTTATTGAAGCTGTAAAAACAATGAAAAGGGCAATGTTTTCAATGAGTGGGCTGGCCTCTTTAAATGGTAAAATGGGCATCTGCTTCTTTTGAAAGTTTGGAAAGTATATTCTAAAAATAATAATAAAAACTAATTTTCAAGATTATAACGAACAATAGCTTTGAATTGATTGTTCTATTTTCCTGCATGCAAAATAAATTAAAATCTTACACAAATGCTATAATTGGTGGTATACAATTAATGTTTCCAGAAAATGTTAAACTCTTTAATTTGAAGCAAGCAGTTCTGTGCATGAAACAAAACCTCACAATAAGAACTAAACAAACCATAATCTCATCTAACATCATGTTATAATTTTAAATAATAGCCTATAAAAAATTCACAATTTGCCATGAACTACTAGGCTGTTTTGTGAGGTATAATCTACAAAACAGCCTCATTGGTTTACAGCATATCACACTTCAGATTCAGTTTCAACGATCTATGTCTGCATCAGATGATCTGGCCAGATCAGCTTGCCTAAGAAGGCTAGATTAAATGATAAGATGATTAACTTGATCACAAGGCAACGGATGCCATTGAATCAAAATGTTTGGCCTTCACTTTTGACTTGTTGAGTTGTAAAATGAAAGGCAAATTGACAATTCATTAACGGTACGAAATTCGAGAAATTCTAAACCGCATAACCATTAAAGCTTCAAGTACTTTTGACACCCTTGAGTGAAGACAGGGTTGTTCATTGTTTAAGCCTGTTAAAATTACTTAAAGGAAAAACCTGCCTCTTTGCAGGTTTTTGTTTTAAATTACTTGTTTTTTTCCTTTATATTACCCTATCCCCCTTTTCCATAAATTCATCTTAATAAAGTAGGGTCCCCTTTTTTTCTAATAGGGAGTGTCATCTTTGGCAATACGCAGAAGTTAAGCAATGTTCCATTTTAGTGGCTAAACGAAGTCACCTACAATCAATTAGTAAAATCCGTCACACACAATGCCAAACTGTTGCCATCATGCACTAAGAGGAACTAAATGGTGGCGAGCGACCTGGCACAAGGAAGAACGGATAATAAATATAAATAAAGGCAAGCAGGGTATAATCAAGCAGCATACGGAAAGGATGCATTGGTGAATGCATCCCAGGTTATCTTCAGTGAGAATATTCTGTCACATTCACAGTGAATCTAGCTTGATACTGAAAACTATTCCTGTAGTAATAATTTTGGTTTTGGGTTACAGAACATATGAGTTGCAGAAACACTTAGCGCACCCTCATGTTCTTTACACGGCATATATGTTATTCCCGTATAAGGCTCTTGTTCAGTGTGCTTGGATCTAGCTGGAAAGATCGTAATCTCACAGATTTGACTCAAGTAGCATTCTTTACAGTTCTGTGCATAGATTTCACTGCACTCAATGTGGAAAATGTTACTGGAAATGTCATTGTCATTTTAATATAATTCTTATTTCATGTTGGATGATCTTGATAAATGAGTGTTTTAATACAAAGTTCTAGTTGTTGGTGCCCGTTAATAAGTAGATTGTGTGAGGCTAGAGAAGATGTTTTTTTTCTGTTTTAAAAAATGCAAGTAAAGAGGACACAAAACAGAAACAGCACAAATATAATTTAGCAACAGCTTCTACTGCAGGTTTGTCTTTACTAGTCAGCTGTTGTCTAATGTAGAACATGTTACAGAAAACCTCCTGAAGTCATCTTCTGCATTATCCATCCAAAGCCGTTAAGCCTTGAATGGTAGTGATGGACTTTTGAGTGCTTTGGAATTTCTTGGCTCAATGCACATGGCCTATTTTTGCTCATTGGTTGGCTTTGGACAGTTGTATGAGGGAGGTGGGGCAGCAGGCTTGCCCGTAGAGCCACAGTTTTGTCAATCACAAACTCGCCAAGTGCCACTCACCTCTTCGATGAAAGACGTAAGATCTTTACTCTGAGCTAGCCTAGTCATCCAAGACTTGGTTTATTGCTTGAGATCAATCAAACGACACTCTCACCCAATGAGCCAGGGTTCAGCTAAGGAGATCTAGCGGAAGCTCTATGCATGTGTTTTTGCCTTTCAATGGAAATGGAGAATGTTGCCAGTGCACAGCAGACCCCAGTTACATTGGGAGGTGGGTGGGTACCAGGGCCATCTTTAAGGAGGGGCAAAAGGGGCAGCTGCCCCGGGCCCAGTTACTCCTGGGGGCCCTAAGGCAGCTGCCCCATGGGCCCCCTGCAGCACCTGAGGTAATCAGGGGCCACAGCCCTTTAATACTGCTCTGGACCGGGCCCTTGTAATATGGGGGTTGGCTGAATACAAACACACAGCTAGCCCCTCACACACTGCCCTGTGATCCCTTTTCTTCTCCGTGGCATGCTGGGAGGCAGTGAGGTCAGATCACTTCCTCCTCAGTGCCGCTGGGGAGGAGGCACACACCACATGGAGGAGGATGCAAGCATTGTTGGGGAGAGGGACTGAGAAAGCTGATGGCAGACTCCCATCAGCCTGGGCCAACAAGCCCCCACTGGACCCCAGGGAAGCCACCTTTCTGTACCCAAAAGGTAAAGAGACAGGAGGGTGGCTAACTATGTTTTGTTTTTTTGTTTTGCTTATTTCTGATATCACTTTTATTCAAGTGTTGGTGTTTGTAATGTAACACACAGGGAATAAGTACATGTTAAAAATCATAGAAGAACCTGACAATTCCCTATTAAATATACATTTTAAAAGTAATTATTTTAACATATTATTGCATCAAGTGTTATCAAAGGCTGTATACCATTTCCAAATGTCACTTTTGCCAAATTCTGGACCAGGGTATGTAAGAACAGAGTTGAGACATTATTATGGCCAAGGTTGCTGGGAGTTGCTGTCCAAGAGCTGCTAGAAGGCAGAGATTAAAATATGTAAATGTACACACATATATGTGTGTGTGTGTATCTGGCTGTGTTAATGTCCTTGTGTGTATCTGGCTGTGTTTGTGTCAGTGTGTGTATCTGGCTGTGTTTGTGTCAGTGTTTGTATCTGGCTGTGTTTGTATGTGTGTCAGTGTTTCTGTGTGTATGTATACGTGTGTGTAAGTGTGCATCTGAGTGTGTGGTAATGCATACATCCCAGCATTTTAATGCCAACACAAATACACTCCATCTCTAGCACTGTACACATATACACCCCTGCATTTATACCTTTATGTATGTGTGTATCTGAGTGTGTGTGTACATACCTGTGTCAGTGTGTGTGTGTACCTCTGTGTGTGGATGTGCCAGTGTGTGTGTGTATCAAAGTGCTTGTATCTGTGTGTCAAAGGGTGTGTATCTGAGTGTGTGTGTGTGTATGTGCCAGTATGTGTCAAGGTGTGAGCATGTGTCAGTGTGCCTATGTGTGTATCTGCGTGTTAATGTGTATGTGTATATGTGTTATAGAAATCACACAACATGCAAACAGAGCCCTGCAAACACAAACATTACATACAAACACACCAGTTTGCTGAAACACCAATACTACACACAAATGTACACAACACTACATCCAAACAACCCCCTGCATGCAAATACAAACATTACATACCAACACATTCCTGTATTAAAACGCTAAAATTATATACAAACACCAACTCTACACACAAAAGTACACCTGCATTTAAAAGCAAACACTACAGACAATCACACATTACTGCATTCAAACGCAAACACTACACACAAGTACACCACTGCATTCCAATGGTAACCGTACATACAAATACACCCCTACATGCACACATACACTCTATACAATAACATGCTGACATTCAATTGCACAAACACTGCTCAAAAATACAACCCTGCAAGGATGGTAGATCCCCACCTGGCATAGCATCGCAGGAGTTGTATGACAGATGGTGATCTATCTTTTCTTTACTCTTGTGCTACAGGGCAGGCCTGAATTATTATTTTTTTTTTTTTGCACCAAGGCACTCTCTACATTAGTTTTGCCTCTAGGTTGGGGTGGAGGGAGTGATTGCATGCCCAGGGGGCCCAAGCAGATGCTTGCCCAGGTTCCAATCAATATTAAAGATGGCCCTGGTGGGTATGGGGGGTTAGTAGGTCCCGTGTAGTGTTCAGTCTCTTGCTGAAACCCTGGAATAGCTACTTATTTTGGCATTTCAGGAGCTACAATTTTTTTTTTTTTTTTACTAATCTGACTATCAAGGAATAAATAAAACGCATCACTGAGATTTAGAGCTAACCTATGTCTTTCAAGCCATTTATCACTTATGCAGGGATAGGTGAAAAGAAATTAATTGAAACATTGATTACAGTCCTGGAGGCTCAAAGATGAAGGATGAAGATCAATATCTTAGAATTGCCATTTGAAGAGAGGTGGAAAGACTTGTATTTTAAGCAAAACACTTTTGTAATATTGACTTAAGAAACCATGCAACATTTAAAGCTTAGTTTTATGATTGCATTCTGTAGTATAATGTTAAAGGGACACTTTAGTCACCCAGACCACTTTAGCTGAATGAAGTGGTCTGTAGTCACCCAGACCCCCAGGTTTTAACCCTTCAGATGTTAACATAGCAGGTTCAGAGAAACTGCTATGTTTACATAGCAGGGTTAATCCAACCTCTAGTGGCTGTCTTCCTGACAGCCGCTAGAGGTGCTTCTGCAACTCTGGATGCGAAATTCGCATCCAGTGTGCACAACGTCCATAGGGAAGCATTGAGAAATGCTTTCCTATGGACTGTTTGAATGCGTGTGCAGCTCTTGCTGCGCATGCACGTTCCGCTCCACTCGGGAGCCGACATCTGAAGGGGAGGAGAGGTCACCAGTGCCAGGGGAGCCCGACGCTGGGTTAAGGTAAGTAACTGAAGGGGATTTAACCCCTTCAGCACCAATGGAGGGGGCCCTGAGGATAGGGGGCTCCTAAGGATGCTATAGTGTCAGTAAAACGAGTTTGTTTTCTTGACACTATAGTGATCCTTTAAGTATATTTGAAAAAAGTGGAAAAATGCCAAACCCAACAAATACACTTTTA